GACAGAAACATGAAAAACATGGCACAAGGCCCGGGCAGGTGCTTATAGTACAGGAGTCCACACCAGAGGGCAGAGTGTAGGTAGATCTGTAAACGAGGACTCGGAAACAACTGTCACTTGCTTGCAGGATGCAGCCCACTGACTCCTGGGACTGCTGCTCCACCCCAGTGCTACCTCCCTTGGGGACACCACCACAGAGGGAGCCGCCGCTGCCCTTGCCACAGAGGCCCAGTGGAGGGCAGGGGCATTGGCACAGAGCCTGCCCTCCATGCCCATGTGCAGAAGGGCCGGTCCCTCAGCCTCTGGGCCACGGAGAAACCTTGCCTGAGAAAAGGAACAACAGTTGCCTCTTCCCTGGTGCAGCTCAGGAACTTTCCTGGCAGATGCTAAAAGGCTCTTGGGACAAAGCACGGCAGAGGGGACTGCTGCTTCCAGCCCCTGGCACAGTCTTCTTGTCCCCTTCCGCACCGCTCAAGACAAACCCAGGGCCAGCAGCCCCTGTGGAATTGTCAGGCCACTTTCTGGCCATTAATTTCTAAGAGTCTACAAGGACCATTTGCATTACCCATCTTCAGAACCCCAGCTGGGCCCTAGAGGGCCAGAAGCAGGGTTAGGAAAGAGGTGCTGTAGCTGGCTGGAGCCAGGGGCCCCAGGGTGGGTGCCTGGCACCCTCTTGGATGGGACACTTCAAGGTGCCACTTGTGTCCCTGACACCCTGGGGGGGCTAGAGGGCACCACAGGGTGTCACCACTGTGGACACTGGGAGGACACGAGACCAGGAGGAACATCAGCTGGGGAACCCTGGGTTGGACAGGGCTTGAGAGCGGCGGGGCATAGCTCAGCAGGGGCCCCAGGAGCCTGCCCAGGGGCGCAGACAGCGCGGCCCCACACCAGCGCCCCAAGCCGAGGCCGCCCCGTGATGACCATGCAGCTTTCTTAATGGAAGGCAATCGCTGAACGAGGCTGTTTGAGCAATTTAGCCTTCTCGGGCAGCAGACGCTGATGGCTGAGGAACCAGGCCACGGGCGGCGGCCGGGCGCCGCGTCAATGCAAAGCCAAATCTCATCCGCTCGCAAACTCACCCCCCACGCCCCCGCCTCCTGCGGGCCCGTACCCCCCCTCCTGTCCCCCAGAAAAGATTGCATCAGAGAGAAAGGGAGAGAGATTTCCATAATTTATAGTATGGGCATTTCACTGGGGACAGGCGCTAATCTGTACTTACCGATACATTTAAGAAAATGCATCCTCCCGCAAGCCTGCGCCATTTACGACTCCTGGCACAGACCGCAATGCTGTCTTCAATTAAGGGACACCTTAGGGTTCATTATCACACAATCGCTCCCTGCGAACCATGCCAAATGCTGTTTTGGCACGGAGCTTGGAAGATGAATTAGAAGGAAGTCTTCGGTAATGCCCTCTCCCCATCCCCATTACCGCCCCCCTCGCAGCGGCTTTCACTGTTCAATCTCTCAACGTCAACCTCGATTCTCTAGAGGTGTAGTTAAAGATGCCCCGGCTCCGCTGTCTTCCGGCTCTCAACAGGCCACAGTGTGGCCCAGCTGGGCTGCTCTCCACCCCCTTTTGGGCTGAAGGAGTCACAGATGTCTTCTCCCTCCTCCAAGTGCCTGCAGTGGAGCCGGGCTGAAGCTGGAGGAGGGCTCTGAGCAGGACGAGAGCCCACAGGTCTAAACTGAGGTCAGAGGCTGTGGTGGACAGCTGAAGAGCAAAGCTGGCGGTAATGCAGGAAGAGGCCTGAGGCAGCTCCTGGCTCCTGCAGTCCCCAAGCCAGGCCCCACTCTCTTTGTTCCCTTCATGAAAACAGCAGAGCAAAACCACACACACACCTGCAGGGGCTCAGCAGTTCTCCCAGGCTGGGCCCGCTGGAGCCACAGGTGAGAGCTGGCAGGACAGCCGCAGTAGCGAGTGAGTGCCGGGGACAACGCCTGGCTCACAGGACAGTTGCTGCGCCGGCCTGCTGTAGGCTCTCATGCTGCAGGCAGGGCGCCCGCAGCCAGGAAGCACCCAGGCCTTCCAGCATCGTGTACTTGGACAGCAAGGAGAGGGCTGGGAGCAGCCTCAGCTCGCAGGACAAATTTTCCCATGCACAGAGCCCTTCCGAAGCTGAGCTGCCCGGCCGGGGTGGCCAGGCACCCAGGCACACATAGCCAGCCACCCAGGGTACAATGCCCAGCCACCCAGGGCATGGGACAGGGCTGTGGAGGGCCAAGGAGGGCGGAGACGGCGCAGCAAGAGCACACAGACCAGAGACACTGCGCCCACAAGACCCGGGGCTTGTGGGGATTTTATTATATAGAGTGTAAAATGCATTGTCAGTCAAATAAAAAACACTTTTTAAAACAACATGCATAACATTCTCCAATTCCTTTTTAATAGTTAGACATTTCAAGCATTGTAAGGAAAATAAGGAGGAAAAACCAGAAACTAACTTCAGTACATTTCAAACGGAATGTGCCTCAGATCAATTAAAAATGCAAGAAAAAATAGCTTCGATTCCGTTTTTTCCTTTAAAAATACATGTTATCTGTACAAGATACACTACAGTAAACATTGGAAATCATATCCCTTTATTAAATCACAATTATTTAATTCATACTGCAGTCAATACTAGGTTTATTAATCCATCTAGTTAATCTGACAAATATTAAGAAAATATTTAAAAGAAAAAAGCAAAAAACACCTTGGAATTAAAAAATAGTTACTACATTTTTATATGGTTTAATGTTCCACAGTGTTTGTTAAAAGTTATATTGAATTTCTTTTTAATATTAAAAATAACAGTATTTATATTTCTGAGAGAATAAAGGTTTTTTGTTTTGTTTTTAAAACCAGCTTGGAGGTCTTAGATACACAACTGCAACCAATAATGAGACACGGAAAAGTCTGCTAAATACATCCCCACGTTTATATTACCCCCTTAGAACTCTAGAAATTATATAAACTCTACAAAATGTCCCCTCCCACGCCCTGCTGGACGGCAATACAATTATCTGTCTCAATTCAGAATTCACATAATTAATTACAATACATAATAGTTCAGGTTTTTAAAAAATGCAATAAAATCAGACAGCCAAGATACAAGAAATTAGAAGTAAAACACTTAATGAATTTACACATTTAAGAATATTTAAATACTGTTTAAAAATTTTTAAAAAGAATTTGTTACATACTACCTAAGACTTCCAAGCCACCTTCTGTTGCAACAGACAAAACCAAAACCCAAAACAAAAAAACTCTGTAAATAAAAAGACAAAAATAAAGCAGAACAAAACAAAACACCACGTTGAAATGTCACTGCTCCGAGGCACGTTCTGGCACCTGGATTTGTAGGTACTGCTCCAAAAGAACCCCAGAGCTTACATGCTTAAAATAACGAACAAAAATAACGTAATAAAAATTATCAGCAATTTTAGTAACTAATTTCCCAGATTTTAGAAATATCCTGTTAATCTAAATATAGTGTTTCACAGAACAAAATGAAAGTTCTTCATCAAAAGGTCCGCAAATCTAAAACCTCTGTTACAAACAGGTTTCTTCACACTGATCTCGAGGGGAAGCGCGGCGCACGGCGGGCTCTACTGCTCCTGCAGGAGGAAGGGCAGAGGCCAGTCGGGCAGCGCCTCGGCCGGCCCTGTGTGGGTGGGCGCTAACAGGTGTCCCCAGGGGCCACCAGGTCCGGGCTAAGCAGTGGCAGCCGGGGCCGGGGAGGCCTCCTGAGAGGCGGCCTGGGGACTCCCTCCTGCTGGGGACACTCAATAAGGGCAGTGGCAGGAGCAGGTGCCAGCGCTGGTAATGGGCCTTGCTGTCTCTGGGCGCTGGCTGGCAGCTGCAGGTCACCTGAAACGCACCTTGTGGGGGTCCCTGACCTCCTCCCTCCGGTGGAGGTCACTTCCGGCTCCAGATGACAGCCCTCTAGGTTTCTGCGTGTGAGGCCAAGAGCTGGTGTGGCACCCACCCCTGCCCTGTGTGTGAGGGCTGCTGTTGCCTGTGCTGCCGCCTGCAGCCTTTCAGAGCAGCAGCTGGAGCCCGCAGTGGCAGATGGACGCTCGGCACCTCACAGCCAGGGAGCTGGGCCTGGGGGAAGGAGCCCAGCGCACCCCAGCCCCTCAAAGGCTGCTGGCCCCTCCTGTGGCCCAGCTGGGACAGTGCAGCTGGGCTTTCAGGGAAGGCCTGGGACAGTACTGACCTGACTGTGCGCCTGCGCCTGTCCTAACGTCTGTCCATAGAAGGCGACCTGCTGCCGGTAGTACTCAGCCCAGGCCATTGTGTAGTCCGGCGGCGAGCTGGCCTGAGGAGCTGCGCTGGGGGCGTGGCCCGGGTGACCTAGGGTGGAGGAGGCAGGTGCTGAGGACGGTGCGGTGGACACATGGGCTCTTGCTGCGAGGCCGCTCGCCCACCCACTTCTCTCTAGAGGCACCCACCTGCTGCCCACGGCTCAGGGAGAAAGAAAACGGGTGCCGGCATGGGTGTCTATTCAGCACACCGAGAGCCCCAGAGCTGGCGACACTGGCCTCGGGCAGCTGGGGAAGGAGCGCCTCAACTTCCACCAGGCTGACAAGGACCTGACACCCAGCTCTGGCCACAGGAAGGCCTAGTGGGCCAGTGTGGACCAAGCGACAGGCTGTACCACAAGACATGGTGCCTGCTCCACACACAGCACAAATCAGGCTGGGCGCCGCCGGCGTGCTGGCCACTCGGTCTGCGGCCCACACCCAGCCTGGGGGCCCCTTTGCTAAGTTCTGCCCTGCCTGAAAGGGCCCCAGAACATGGGCAGCAGCTGTGGGAGTGGCAGGGAGCCATGTCCTGGGCCTAGCAAGTGCCCCATGGACTCTGGGGACAGCATGGTCCACTCAGCAGAGGTGGCCAGGCAGGGACTCCAGACAACAGTCATGGACCACACCCAGGGAGGGAGACGCAGGAGGCGGCTCGCGCTCACTCTGCTTTTTGTAGTAGTCCTCCCAGGCTTTGCTGTAGTCCGGCTGGCTGCTCTGCGGCTGGCTCTGCTGGCCTGTGCAGAGGAAAGGGCGTAGGCTGTGGGTCCTGGTTCGCGTGCCCCGCCCTCCTTGGAAGAGGGAAGCATGTGCGCAGCCAACAGGTGGCGGGGGAGAGGGCACAGGGCACGCATGTCGTCTTCTGCCGGGTGGTGTGGGCCACAGGGGAGGGGTGGCTCAAGGGCAGGCACACACAGGGGGAGAGAGGCGGGCCAGGACGTCCTCCTTCCCCCAGGCAGAAGGGCGCTTGAGGTGGCAGACCAACTCTGCCCTCAGACTCCACGGCAGTCAGAGCTCTTCTTCTGAGGGAACCTCTGTCCCAGCCCACACTCCTCCTACACCCTGAGGCAGTCAGCAATACAGAGGCCAGGAAACCAGTAGCCACCTGTGGCCCCAAAGGTCACTTCCCCAGGAAGGTCCAGGCTCTTCGGTGGCTGCAGTACACCCTAAGTCTAAATCTTCTCACAGGTCTAGGCACGATGGGGCAAAATGAGGGCTCCCTCACCCTGCTGCCGGGGCCCAGAGACCAGCATGATGCGGGTAGGGGGAGCACACAGCAGGGAGCCACAAGAGGGGCAGCGGAGGGCAGCCGGGCCCACGAGGTGAAAGGGTGAGCCGGGGCCTCCGTAGCTCCCAGCACAGTTCGGTCAGGACCAAGGCATCACACAGTGAAATACTGAGGGAAAGGGAACCCATGGCCACGGGGCCCTAGAGCTCAAACCCTGACTTCAAGACACATGGCGCCTGGGTGTGGGTGCTGAGGATGCGCTCTGGGAGAGGCACACTGGTGCCCAGCCACATGCCATGCAGGGGACCTGCAGCCAGGCCCAACGAGGCTTTGCAGACGGGCTCCCAGTGGCCCACAGGGCGAATGTGGAGCAAGGGAGCCACGTGACTATCCTGCCAGGTACCCTCGGCTCTGTGAGATGCTCCTAGCTGGGTGAACGTAAGCCCAGAGGGGGCATGCTTCGGGGGGGGGGGGGGGGCAAACCACAGCACACATCCTGCGCCTGGCACCTGATTCCTGTCGCCACCGCAAAGCCCAGCTGCCCAGCAGCCAAGCACTGCTATAGTTGTTTTTTCTCAAACCTTAGTACGCGGGCTATCTGCTGCGTCGGCACTTTGCAATAAATGGACTCAGGGCTGCAGTTTGGGCACCTGGCTCTGAAAGGGTCATCACGGTACCAGAGACACAGGCAGAGACCACCTTGTGGAGAGAAGACAGCCTGGGAGAGCAGGGCAGCAGGCAGAGCTCTGGGCCAACCTAGGCCCTGGGGAGCAGAAGGGATAGACCCCACAATCCCTAGCTAAGAAGGGCGGGTGGCCCACAGAGTGGCCGGTGGGCCCGCCAAGCCACAGGCTGGCAGGCCTATCTCCTTTGGCATAGCCTGTGCACCACCCACTCCCACTTACTTGGGACCTGCTGCGCGGGCTGCTGCCATGCCTGGTAGGTGCTGCCCCAGCCCTGGGTCAGGAAGGTGGGAGGGCCACTGCAAAAGACAGGAGAGTCACTCCCACCGGTGTGCCCCATGCCCACCAGCTCTGGCCCGGAGCCAGCCTCTTCCGACCACCTCCCTTGGCCAACACCTACCTCACAGGGGTGCTGTGGGGGTTTCCGTTCACCTTAGCGGCAAGGTTGGGAAAGCAACCTGAAGAACCCCTCGGAGGAAAGGCACTGCGAGGAGGGGTGGTTAAGTGTTGGGGCCACCCCAATACTCTGCCACCCCAACTCTGCCAGGGAGGGGCTCCCCAGAAGCAGTAGACTGGGGGACCCCCAGCTTGGGGGCTCTGCCCCATCACCACTGAGTATGAGGTACTGCCCAGAGCTTGCGGGCAGCTGAGTTGGGAAGGAGGCCAGGGTGCAGGGTGTCCGGTCAGGGGGCGCAGCACACTCACTTTTGGTGGGGGGCGGTGGGCGGCTGGCTGAAGGGGTTCTGTCCAAAGGCTCCAGCAGCACTGAGGCCGGTTCCCTGTGTGGGCACAGAGCGGCTCTCAGCCCTGGGCCAGGGGAGCCCGCTCTGGGCCTGTCGTGAAGAAGCCACCCCTGCACTCACACCAGCTTCCTTCCATACCAACTGCGTGGCCAGCCGTGGCACTGCCCTCAAGGGACCAGCACCACCACACAGCCAGGTCTGGTGCCACCACAACTGCCCTGGCAGCCACCCTGGGGGAGGACCAACCTGCTTGGCTCTCCCGTCAACTTAGGCTGGCCCAAGGCTCTTTTTGCCATTCTACGTCCCCACTGAGGTGAGCAGTGACCCATCTGTCCTCCATCAACACTCCCTTTCTTTATCTGCTTTGAGGTGCCTGAAACTAAAGCCAGAGTCAGTGACAGCTGCGCACCCTAGCCGTGCATCTCAGCAGGGCTGGACAGGCGGTGCCCGCTGCTCATCTAAACCTGCACAGGACACGCTCTGAGGCTTGAGCTGCTGCAGCCCTGGGAGCTCTGCCAGAAGCGGGCCTTCCCTGGGCCTCTGACCTGCCCTCTGCCAAGTGGCGGGGCACTCCCCAAGATGCAGGGACGGCAGGCACAGTAAGTGCGAGGCTCTGGGCAGGACAGGTACCTTGGACATCCCAAAGAAAGGCCCGCTAAGTCAGCCAGGTGGGGGAGGGTGGTACGTACGCCGACTTTCTCATCTATGAGATGCCTAGCCACCTCGATCTGCTGCGGGATGCCCCTGATGGTGAATATCCGCAGGCTGGGGTCGGTGCTGGGTGGGGGGTTCCGCTGCAGCTCCACATGTGCCCCCGACTGCTGGTTGATGCTCTTGATGTTCTCGCCCCCTACAGGTAGGAGACACGGGTGAGGGAGGAGCACTGGCTGCAAACCCAGGAGAGAACCCTACAGGGCACTAACAAAACCCAATGCCTAGGGCTGGTGAGATGGCTCAGTGGTCTAAAGCACCTACTTAGAACAAGCTAAGCTAAACAAAGCACAGGGACCACGGTTCAATCCCCCAGCACCACATGCCAGCCAGCCCCGCCCCCTGGTGGGCTGAGCTGGCCACACACACACACAAAATAATTAAATAAATAAATATTAAAAAAAAAAAGTTAAAAAAAAAAAAAAAACCAATGCCCACCCTTTAGCAACCCTGCTGCCTAGAGAGAAGCAGAGCCCAGCGCCAACACCATCCCCAGGGGAGGGCTGAGGCCCGGCAGAGTGCTGGAGCATGGCTGATGGCACCAGGGACTTGCAGGCTCCACACACAAAGGGGGGCTTCAGCTGGGTGGGCACTGTGTAGCACTCCCGCTGGTAGTCAGATGGGCCTGTGGCCCACCTGGGCACTGGATACCCACCTGTCCTTTGGAGACAGACAGGACACAGTGGGGCTAATGAAAATGTAGTCCGACTCTTTAAAAAAAATGTGTGGACTCTTCAAAAACCTGTGAGACTCCCAGTCTCTTAATGAAATTTGCGTAACAAAAGCTCCAGTAGGGTAACAATGGTCTGATTCTTCTTTTGAAATTTCACAGAACTCAGATCTGCTCCTGGGTGGGGTCTGGAGCCGCTAGAATACACTCAAAAGCGAGTAGAGTTTTTGCAAAGCTGGCTAAAGAAAATGCTGAAAGCCTGGTACAGGGAATCAAAAAGTAACATCGGACACCAAAGGAGCGCTGGTGCCACCCCCGCCCACCCACGGTCAAAACCAACCTGAGGTGACATGGATCACTGTCCCTAAGGCACCTGGGCCCTGCGCGCACCCTAGCCTGGCACCTCAGCCAGGAGGGCAGGAGAGAAGGGGACACACTGTTTCATCCTGAGAAGGCACGAGGATGCCACAGGGGTCCAGAGGAGAAAGTGGAGGCTGGGTCTAGCAGCAGGCAGCCAGGCAGGGCATCAGTCGCCGCTGGCTTGTGCGCATGGTGTTAGTTTAGGGCCATTTTAAATTTGAAGGCCAACAAACAACAGCCCCTGCCAAAAAAACCCAAAACACAAAAACACCCCCCAAGGTCCTGTCCCCTGGTTGGGGGCCTTCTGGGCCAGGCCAGCCAACAATTCCTCCAGGGAGGTGCAAGCCCCGCCTGGGCCCTCTTCTCCCCGCTCCAGGAAGAGCACATGTCTCTGTCCCCAAGGCAAGAGTGTCTAGAGCACAATGAAGGACACAGGAGAGGACAGGCCATTTCTGCAGCTCTGTCCTGGGGCTCCCGGAGCCTGCCCAGTGTGTCTCCTCACAGGGTGGTACAGGGGCAGCGCTGGGCTTGGTGGTCTGTAGCTGGGATGGCCCTGCCTGGCTGGGCCTGCAGGCCTCGAGAGCATGCTAATACCCGGAGGAAGAGGAGGAGAAGGAGGAGGAGGAGGAGGAAGAGGAGGAGGAGGAAGAGGAGGAAGAGGAGGAAGAAGAGGAAGAAGAGGAGGAAGAGAAGGAAGAGGAGGAGGAAGAGGAGGAGGAGGAGGAAGAGGAGGAAGAGGAAGAGGAGGAAGAGGAGGAAGAGGAGGAAGAGGAAGAGGAGGAAGAGGAAGAGGAGGAGGAGGAAGAGGAAGAGGAGGAGGAGGAAGAGGAGGAAGAGGAGGAAGAAGAGGAAGAAGAGGAGGAAGAGAAGGAAGAG